GATGTGGCCCTGGGCAGGCTGGTCTGGTATTAAAATACGGAGGTTGGTGGCCCTGCCTGTGGCAGGGGGGTTGGAGATTCATGATCCTTGCAGTCCCTTCCAACCCTGGCCATTCTGTGATTCTGTGAAGAGAACACATTGTCCAAGATCTGCTCTTCACTGCCCACACCTAGGACAGGCTGGGGAAGTGAGAGAGGTAATGCTGACTTTGTAGCTCAGAGAAGCACACCTTGTTTGGTATCTGTAGTCTTGTTCCCCTTCCCCTGAGACCATCCCACACTGCAGAGCTCAGGGAGGCCTGCAGGAAAGCCATAACATGGACATTCTTGCACCAACCATCCCTTGCCACACTCAGGACAAGAGGTCAGATCACAGAATGGCTTGGGTTGGAAGGGACTCCAAGACCATCAAGTTCCAACTTCCCTACCACAGGCAGGGCTGCCAACTTCTAGATCAAGTTCTAGATCAGATTGCCCAAGGACCCATCCAACCTGGCCTTAAACATCTACAGGGACAGGGCATCCACAACATCTCTGGGCAGCCTGTCCCAGCACCTCACCACATTCTCAATAAAAGAAAACTTTCCCCTGACATCAAACGTAAATCTCCCCTCCTTTTGTTTAAAATCTTTCCTCTCCGTCCTATCTCTATCTACCTTCCTAAGAATTTGATTCTCTCATGTTTATAAATGTCCCTTTAAATATTAGAAGGCTCCCTGCAGCCTTCCCTTTTCCTGTTGAATGCATGCAGTCACCCAAATCATTGTCAGAAACACCTCAAGAAAGGGATACGGGCTTTATATCACATCAGCTTTGTGTGCCATTGCTTGCAGAATGCAGCTGCAAACCGTTCCATGCTGAGAACCTCTCCTCACTCCAGCTACCCTTGTGTTGGAGGCAGGTTTTGGAAACCCAGCTCTTCCAATTATCACAGGAAGCAAAATTTAGGCAATGTAAGCAGCTGGTGGCTGAGCTATTGGCTGCTCCTCACAATAACCTCTTGCTTGTACTCCAGCCCTTTCCTGCCCTTGATCCCTAGGTTTCCTGCATCTGTAGCAGCTCAGATGGAACCCAATCTTCTTAAAAGGAAACTATGCATACCTTTGCAAAAGAGAGCCCATGCAAACAACACACTACAAGGCAAAATTTTTGAGTAGGTTTCCTCTTCGCAATCCTGACTACAAACAAGCTTTCCAATTTTCCACAAATGCTTTGAATCATGTCCCTTCATGTGTGTGAAAAAGTCTGAAAGTACAGAAAAGTTTTTCTACCCAACTCATTTGGTGGGAACCCCTGAAGCAGAAAGAAGTAAACCAACATTCTTGCCAAGAGATTGGGAATTTTCCAATTCATGCTTTTGTTGCTCCCACCCATCTGCACAAGTACAATAGCGGGGCCATGTTTGGCTCTGCAGCAAACTCAAATGCAATTGGCAGAAGTGGGGAAAGAGATATAATTGTGTTTCTCCAGGAAAAGTGGTCATTAGGAGGGTATTATCTGGATACTGGTTATGTAAACTGTAGCTGAATAAGCTCTATTTACAACAAGAAAAATTGCCAGAAAGTGATCAGAGCACATGCGATCTGATGAAAAGGCTGCACTTGAGCAACATGAAAAGCCAGTAATCTACGAGGAAGAAGCTGTCTTATAACTAGGAATTTTAAGCAGGAATACTGCTGGTGGAGGAATTTCAAATCTAACCAGACCATGAGTTTCAACATTTCTCAGTAGTCCTGAACCTCTTCTGGAACTTGACATAAATGAGACTGAGAGAGAAGGCTGCTGCATCACAGGGACCAGGCTCTGACCTGCTCTGTACTTTCTGCAAGCCTACAGCATTCACAACAGCACATCCCTGCCCTTTGGTACGTAAGCTTTTTGTAGAGACCAAGTCCTGTCCTCATAC